ATTTATCATAATTTTCATATAATATTTGTTAAATCATCATAATGATGTGAATTCTAACTATTTAATTTTAATAAATTTCTATTCTATTTTATTCTATCATTTTTCAGATGGGAAAATTGATTCTGAAAACAACAGAAATGGAAACAAACTATGATTTGGGCAATAAAATGATTGAAAGTTTGTTAAAAGAGAAAGTAGTGAGTGGGGATGTAATCACAATCGATAAAGCCACTGGTAAGATCAGCAAATTGGGCAGATCTTTTGCCAGAGCTCGTGATTATGATGCCACCGGAGCTCAAACTCGCTTTATCCAATGTCCTGAGGGTGAATTACAAAAACGCAAAGAAGTTGTTCATACTGTGACTTTACATGAGGTCGATGTTATAAATAGTAGAACTCATGGATTTCTGGCTTTGTTCTCTGGAGATACTGGGGAGATCAAAACTGAGGTTCGTGAGCAAATAAATGGTAAGGTAGCCGAATGGAGAGAGGAAGGAAAAGCTGAGATTGTTCCAGGGGTTCTGTTTATTGATGAGGTAAATGCTGTTTCAGTTTTCTGAGTAGATTATTAGGGTTTTTACAAAAACCGACATTTTAGAAAACTGTTTTTCCAATAGTAATATTTTCAGAAGAAACCAATATATTTTGTACAGGCTAAAATGTGGAGAAAAAATTCTACTTTTCTGTTAATTACAAAACTGATAAACGCTAGTTCTTTTTGAGTTTTATCAAATGGCATTTAAATTTTTGAAATTGATTCAGCCGTTTTTAAGAAAACGTCGATGAAAGGTCGATGTTCGCCTCATACACATATATTCTCTTTACAAATTTGGTCTCATTTGATTCAAATGACTTGAAACATTAAGGAAACATACATTTATACATTTGCATTACATTCATACAATTGGTAACCAATAATTTCTACCGGTTTTCAAATTTCATAATTTTTCAATTGACCAGTTTTTTAAAACTGACAAACTAGCAATTATGTTTGAATACAATATTAGTTGCAGTGTGCATTTTGATTGCTCTTAATATTTTTTATTATAAATATTTGTAACATCAATCTTTAATTTTAGGCTCATATGTTAGACATAGAATGTTTTTCATTCTTGAACAGAGCTTTAGAGAACGAGATGACACCTGTTGTAATAATGGCAACAAATAGAGGCATAACCAGAATTCGAGGAACAAATTATAGGAGCCCCCATGGAATTCCTATTGACTTATTAGATAGAATGATAATTGTGCCAACTAAACCCTATGTTGAAGATGAATTGATGGAGATTATAAAAATCAGGTAAATATAGGTTTTATGTCACAATTATAACTTATTACTTCTATTACATAAAATTTATATAAGATATTCAGAAACACATTGACATTCTCAAAAGACTAGTTAATTTTAAAATGATGACTACAAAACTACATTTTAAAAGATTAAGTTTTTGGTTTCATAGCCGACAGCAGAATATTATGTCAATTAATTCTAATCTAACTAAATATGATAAAAAAATCATTCAAGTGTAAAATGCAAATCTTAGTAAACTACACCACGAAGTAAATTTGATCTGTTTCTTCTCATCACTTGTAATCATTCTGATGACAGAAATTACTAGAACTTCATTGATGTCCAATGTTTTATTAAATTATAGCAGTGGTGCACAACAATAAATATACTAACTGACCTTGCAAATATTGTTTAAATCTTAGTTGCAAATATTGCTAGAAAAATTTTATGTAATTGTATGTAAGTGAAATTTGTGTATAACACAAATGAGTTTGGATTAGATGTTTGAGTTTTACTATTTTAGAATTGTATTTGTGCATTTGAACAAAATATCAATTATACTTATTTCATTTTGAACATACAGATGTGAAGAAGAAGATTGCCAAATGTCTGCTGATGCTATGACCGTTTTGACCAGAATAGCAATGGAAACGTCTTTGCGTTACGCAATTCAACTAATTACAACAGCTGGGCTAGTTTGTCGCAAACGTAAATCTGTTGAGGTAATTTATAAACAATTTGAAAAATTATTATATGTATTTTATGTGCTAATGCAGCAGGTTATTTTATTATTTTATTATTATTTTAGCTTATTATGTAGTATTTTGTTATTTTTTAATTTTCTGAAGTGCTGAAAAACTAATGAAATATATTCTACATATTCTTTGCTAACTTAATAGTAAAATATAGCTAATTTTTAGCTTTTAAGCTTTCGGTCTTTAAACCTTTGTTTTTTTATTTTTTGTTTATTATTTTATGATCGGCTTATTTATGTTTGAAGCACTGTCTCTGTAGGTCTTGGTAGATAAAACATGTTTAAATTTTTATGCATTTAAGTTCTTAAATCTTAAAATCGTTTCATAATGTGATAGTTAAATAAATAGAACGAAAATATTTAAGGTTTCTATGGATGATATTAAAAGAGTGTATTCCCTGTTTTTGGATGAACATCGATCATCACAGTTTTTGAAAGAATATCAAGCTGAGTATATGTTTAGTGAGAACGGTAAGTAGAAATTTTTATAATTTGGCATCATCTATTTAATTAGTTCAATCATATATGTTATATAAATTTGTTTTTGTTTTTAGCAGATGATCCTCTTATGGAAACTGATGACTAATTTTTCCTCCACGAGTTTCTAATTCTTTTTATCTATAATTGATGTATAAGTTTATTATCTTTGTTTACTATGAAATAGAATGAATGATGTAATGGATATTAATGTCTCTCATGAAAGAATAAAAATATAAGTATTTTAAGTTATTTTTATTATTTTATTATTAAACAAGCGTATATAATTAATATATAATTTCTACAAACACTTTTATATAAAAACTTTGTCAATAAATTAGTGCATACTTATATATTATATATAATTTTATTTAAATTATGAAACTATGCAGTATGAGCAGTCAAGAAATAGATTTTTCCAACTGGGAAGGAATTTTTAGATAAAACAGTATTCCTTAAGGGGTGGTGTACTGGTCTAGAATTAAAAAAAAACGATTTTGTTTTTTTTGCAATTTGAAAAGCTTTTCAAGAATATGTGTACTTTTGTTTCTTTTCTGTGCGAAACTTTAAACGCGTTTTTCTTGAAACTGTCTTATTCGATACACGATTCACACGTATATACGGATCTAGACCAGAATTCCCCCTTAAGCACAGATTTTAAGATTTTTTCTTCATATTATTTTTCACTTTTTATTTAGATTTAGGTACATTTTTTAGGGTGAAACATGTTATCTAAGACGTCAAAGATATTATCAGATTCTAATTATAAACTTCTATGTTTTTAGTAAAACTTGACTGCCCGTGTTGCATATCAACAAATGATTAACAAATAATCCAGGTACCATGTATTAGAATTTTGGTATTAGTTAAGCTTTCAACTGGTTTTATCAGTTTTAGTTTTCTTCAGCCTTCCTCAGCGCCTGATAAGCGGCTTTCTTTGATTGCACTGAAAAAAAATATACATATATATTGAAAACAATTATTTTTTAAATTCAAAAACTGATTCAATGAAGTGCTAAAAGTTGATGACTACAAGGTAAATCCATTACTTTTTAATTTTAAAGCTAATTATAAACTAAATAAAATGAATTATTTCACATAATTCTCTTAAATTAGCACTTGTATTATTTAGCAATACACATGCGTTACCTGTGATGAGTTTATACGGTTCATCAGCCTTATGCATTTTCATGAAGTATTGTTTTAGCGGGAACATCATGCTAAATTTTGATTTTATTGTTTTATCATCAGCACTCTCGACATTTTCAATGTTTGTGTGGATGTTATATTCTGGTACAGGTATTACAGTAGATGATACTGCAATCATGTCTGAAATATTATAAAATCCCACATCTGTTATGTCCACTGATGTAAAATATCATTTTATAACAAAGTATGTGATGATATCACGTGGATTGATCTAAAAAAAATACTATTTGCTTCAAAACTTTTTTAATATTTTGAATGCTTATCGATCAATTTTCTTTTGTATGATCATGAATGACTATAGTCAATCAAAAAATTATTATAATATATATATTATACTTTTGATTAATAATTGTCCTTGTGATTAAGATCAAAACGAACATCATTTTAAAGTTTAACATTCATTAATGATTCAATTCAATTCAAGATTGAAACGACAATGGCCTTTAGACTTAGTCTTCGATTAGGTCTAATATAATATAATATAATTCTGAGAAGTTCTCATTGGAGTTCTTCTTAGGCATTGCTCTTAAAATATTGTCATTTTAGCTCATAGGAATCTTTATGTATTTCTGATTGCTAAATAAAACTGAGTAATAAAAAAAAAAAAAAAAATTAATGATTCGATGAAAATGACTCTAAATTAAAATATTATAGGGGGTTCATAGACAATTTTGAATTTTAAGAACTTAAAACTTAAAATATTCATTTATTGCATTAAAATTAAACAAAACCAGGCTAATTGCATGATCTTTCTAATATGTCTAAATTACCAACTTAATCGATAAGAATTGAAATTATGCAACTTTTGATTGTGATTATTCCACATTTTAATGATTTTTAGATATAATTTACGTTGAAATATTCTATTTTGGGATGTTCATTTAGGTTATGGACTTCATCAATATGCAAAGATTCAATGAAATTGTTAAATCTTTTTTTTTTTCAATAATTGCAAAGAAACGGCCCGGTTGATGCTCGTGTTTACCAATAACAAATCGGCATAATTCCCAAATGATATCTTTCAAACGGATTTTGAATGTTTTAAAATCAGGTGAGGCCTTCTGGTGAATACCCTGAGTAAAAATTTTGCACTTGCTTATTATAAAGAAACGGCTAAGACGATCGACGCTCAAAACTAATCAACGTCCTTACAGAATTTTATCAAATGACCTTTCAAAATTTGAAGTCGGTGCAACTGTTTTTGAAAAAACATAGGCGTAAGGTCAAATTTTAGCACACATACACAGACACATATTATTTTCTAATTTTGATGACTTAAAATATCAGAATGACTTGAAACATCGAAAAATATAAAATTAGCAAATCGGATTCCGTTGTAAAAACACAAACTTCAACTTTGATAAGTTGATAATTTCGATTCACACTTAATTACTGTTTAATTTATACATTGCTGATGTTTTATTTAATGAATATCCATAACAATACCAGGTTCTAGGTGATCATACTGATTTCTCTTGTAAACTGTCGGATGGCAGTTAACTATTGCCGCAAACAGAACCACACAAATAAACACACTTCTTGTTATCATGATTTGTTTATAATTAATTAATAAATCAGTGTACCGTTTTATTCATAAAACAATAATGAAATATGTTATTTTTTCGTTTCGTGACTTTGTTGTGATTCAGAAAGTCCGCTACTAAAAATTAAATCATTCATCTCTTACGAGGTGTTCATTTGTACCATGCGCGTATTCGATTGTTCTTATTGAAAAAATAAATGTTTCTAATTAACATGCTAATATGTTTTGCAAATTTATTAATGTGCAGACTTATGAAAAAATATTGTGTTTATTAATTTTATTTATATACTTGTATATTAAGTTGCCGAAGGAGAGGTTTATGTTTTAACCAGTAAATCCGGCTTGATAATTTTATTTTTAATAATGCTATTTTTTTCTTGTCGTTTCAAGTCATTTTAAATTGCTTGACACCAAATTGGGAAAAGTATGTGTGTGCGCATGTGAATGTGTGCCAAAATTTGAACTTTTTCCGACGTTTTTTCAAAAACGCTTTCACAGATTTCAAAAAAGCCATGTGGTCTAATTTGATAAGGACTAGCTTCGATTAGTTTTGTGCGACGATCGAGCAGTTTTTTTTTAGAATTAGCGAGAATAAGAGCAAAATTTTTCGTCAATGTTTTCAAAAAAATTCTAAACCGATTTTAAAAGTTTATAAACTGATGAAAAGATTTCAGTTGGAAATCGTGCTGATTGGTTTTTGGTAAAAATGAGCTAGACCTTTTCTTTGTAATATTAAATGATCTCTTTGGCATTTTTAATGTAACTTAACCCTTTTCACTCGCGAATTTCGAGATCTATACGATTTTTGCGCCGGAACGGCGGCATTCGAGTAGAAAGGGTTAAAATAGAGATAGAGATTGTGGTCCTCAAAGAACATCCTAAAATATTATAGTCCTACCAAATGTGGTTGAATGATATAAATCCTGTTGCTATTAGGACATACAAGTACGCGTTTGAGCTTTATAATTAATACAGTTACAGATATTACAAGTCTATTCGAAAAATAGCAGTTGAAAATCGCATTGATTAGATTTTAGAGAATGATAAACTTTATAAATTTTTGATACTTCTAGCAAAGTTATGGATTTAGTCATATAATTATTAAGATATGAGATCAGTCATATGATTTTTAAGCAAATGATCTGATAAACTGTTAATTTATATCTTAGTACATTGAGTACATTGGAGTACATATAGAATTATGGTGGCAGCGGTGGGATCATTAATCGTTATTTAAATACACGTACATATTATATATTAAAATTTTACACACAATTGAAATTATATAATCAGGATTTTTTTATCAAAAGTTTTCTATTTAATTCTTTATCAAAAAATATATCTGCAGACTCTACTTATATACCATTACATATTCCATTACAAATTATGTGATTTTTCTTCTATGCTTCGATTACAAAGCTTAGCTATAAAATAAAAATTTAATAACGAATTATGAACGAATCATCTTCATATTTTTGTTTAATTTTTTATGAGGCTACGACACTGTTTTATCGCTTTGCACGTTTCCCGTATAAGGAGAAAGTTCTTCTGTTCTCAATGCCGACAAGGTTTCGCGTCAGACTTAAAGATCTTAAAACAATTATACTTGAATATACGCAAATAATCAAATGCCATCAACACCAACACACAACGGAATTTACCATCACTTCTCAACTCAAATGCATATTGCTAATCGTAAGGTGTAATGGTCACTATTTTATTCAAAACGTTTTAAACGGTTTCATCGTTGTTCTGCATTTAAATCTTCTGACGATTGGATATTGAGAATATTATTTAGAGAGCTTCCATAAATTACTTTTTATACTTATTTGTTTTCTTTAATCTTTGTCACTAGATTGTTGCAGTATTATCAACTTATAACTAACCAAATTATTAACTTTCCGAAGGAGAAGTTTGTTTCCAAAAAAAATATCCGTTTCGCTAATTTTAAGTTTTCTCGACGTTTCAAGCCATTCTGAATCGAGTGAGACCAAATTTGGAGAAATTATGTGTGTGTGTGTATGTGTGCGTGTGTGTGTGTGCACATAATTTTTGCCGTATATCGACGTTTTCTGAAAAACGGCTGGATCGATTTCAAAAATTTAAAAGGCGATGTATCTTGATGAGGACTAGCGTTTATCAATTTTGCGGGACGATAATGTACTAAATGCTAATGTAATGAAATGCTGTTTCTTTGTGAATCGCAGAAAATTGAAAAAAAAAATTCGTCCGCGTTTCAGTCTGCAATTCTAATCGATTTTGAAAATTCGAAAACCGTTCGAAAGATACTGGTTGGGAATCGACCTGATTAGTTTTTGATAAAGATCGGCCAGGTCGTTTTCTTGTAATAAAGTATTAAAAATATATTTTTTTCGACGATTTTTATGAATTTTTCTTTCACGGTAGATACCATAGTCTTATTATAGATCATACTGAAATATTACGGTCCTACATCGATTTAGAACATTTCATATTGATATTAATCTTTCAATTATTTTTTGTGTGAATGCATCATATTGGAAATAAAAAAGTAGAATTATTATACAGAAGTAAATAATTTTTTCAAAAAATTATTGACATACCTGTTTCAATCAATGTTTACCATCTCTGGGTCTTCTAATGTAATATTTAACGATCGCTTCGTTAAGTACAAACAACATATATCATATAACAACATCACTAATACTAATAATGAATATGAATTAATATTGAAATTCAAAAATTTGCGCAATGTTTGATATTTATACTTGTTGGCGTATATGGTGAGGTCAACAACCGCTCAAGTTGCAAATATTTTTTTTAAATATTGAATGTTCTGACCGGATTCGTTTACTTAGTTTGGTAACAACAAGATTGTTTGAATGGCTGAGAAATATCTGAATTGTGTTACAGGATGCCAGAAATCGTGATGCAAACAATTGCGAAAGCAAAACACATTTTTATTTATCAATATTATAGGATAGAAGATTATGTCTTCTTATTACGATTTTTGTAATAATGCGAATATTTTATTGATGCAGTAATTTTGGATAAAGGCTATTTTCACATAGAAATATATTGCTACTTATATTTCCTAGTGAAAACCATTCTCACTACTGCTGGACATCAGGCTCCTCGAAGCGAGATCGACAGCAGGACCTCTGATTCAGGTTCAGTCGCTCTAGTTACTTACCAAGGAGTGAAACCCACGAATTTTTTAAATATATTTTTTGTGAAGTGAAATAAGTTCAGAATTTTTTCATAACAGATAAGTTTTATTTTATATTTCATCATTTATATTATATCATTTTTTTTTCAGCTAAGATCTTTGCATTGCAAAGTGGAGGTACCGCTGACTTCTTTCTGAATTTGATTGCCATCTTCATCAACACACCAGCATTCATTTGGATTTTTTGTACATTGTTTTGGTTCAAAATTTCCATTTTTTTGGCACAAAGGTAACTCGGGTTTATTTGCTGAATTTGATGTGCTCAATAAATTTTTTGTCCGTGCACATTCTGAAAAAAAAAACAAATAAACAATATTCCTTATTTTATCAGGATTGCAATAAATATACAGTATATACAGTTCTTATAAAATTAAATAAAATAAAAATTTAAAATATATAAATAATATTTTGGTACAAAACAGGTGGTGGAAAGGTATTAATTATGATACTAAATAGAGAAGAATTTGTATTATATTAGTGCATGTAAAATAACCATTGAAACTAAGTCAAATAATTATGTGACAAGATATTTTTACTTACTGCAGTTCATCTTGTTAGCTTCAGGTGTATTTAATTTTGCTTCGTATTTCTCTATTTGATTTCCATACTTATCCACGCAAATTTTCCTGAAGAAAAAAATATATGTCACAATGGTAACACATGGATTTGATTATCTGAACGAGAGTAAATATAACTATAATTTTTTTAAAGTATCATGAATATTTTTCTTCCATAAATAAGAAAACCCTTTTGCTACGAGTGCTGGCTAAAATATTTTACCTAATAGTTACATGGAATACCACGAAAAATTACCAGGTCACCCAAACAAATATTTAAAAGAATTAAGCGAGGAATTTCCTACTCGAAGATTGAAAAAATGGCCATACGATCTTAAATAAAATGTCAAAAAATAATAAAAAGAGATATCTCATAGGAGACTTAAATTCATGTACACCCACCATATTGTCTTAAAATTTTTTATATCATTTTGATCGGCAATAAATAAATCTATGCAAATAAAAAAAAAATCAGTTGCATGGGCGGCTTGCAGGCTCGTACAGCAGTGTCACTTCTGTGGAGAACACCACCGTAGCGGTATAAATTCATAAATCTTGAAATTATAGTTAATATACCTCCGTTCAGATGAAAAAAAATCATTGACATTACTTGTCATTCTCTACTTTAACAGGGGCGTACCACCCGTCGGGCCCACATTTTGGCAGTTGATATTCGAGAACAGTATATCCACTTTTTTGAAGTTGCGAAATTTCTTGTAGTTGATCAAGATTGTTCTTTTCGCATTCTCGGAGAAATGTACTATTTTGATCTTGTTTTTCGTTATCTAAAATTATATAATTCAATAACACAATTTTTGTCAGGATCTCTTGAACAAGCGTGATTTTAAGACAAATATGTTTTTTTATACTTTTCTTCTTGATGAAATTGTTTTATAAATTGCAATTCAACGATTGCCCTATCTTTATTTGATGAATTTTTTATCAAAATGTCTAAACTTTATGACTTTTTTTTATTGAAGTAGCAATGCCGTGTAACGGCTATTGTTACTTGGAAACATATTGCTATCTATATTTACGAGTGAATCCTGAAATCACTCCTGCTTGACATCAGCCTATCGGAAGAGGGTATCAAACCAGGAACTCCTAATTAGAAGTCTAACAACTTTGTCACGTGAAAGCTCAATGAATAAAGTTGGCAATAAATTTAGCTTTTGAAATCATAATAATTACCACGTGAGTATATGTTCTTTAAAAATCTTTCATCATTTAATATTTCAATAACATAATGTGGTCGACTTACAGCAGTCCAATTTTGATAATCCTTCCGTGGTCATGTTGACAGGATTTGAGACAGGATCACCTGACACATGGTAAACACACATGCAAAAATCGTTTAAACATTGCAGTTGTTCATATGATCCAGTCGAAGTGCAACGCATTGGGAGAATTGGAGTCCATCCTGGGAGCAATTTGGAAGCAGTATGGGCGCTTCGGGAGCACTCTGTAATGGTGAGTTAAATTATTATTATCTACATCTGCATGTGATCGATTATTGAGGAATAGATTGATTTTTGGGTATTTTCTTTCTTGAAATTACGTGGATATTTCGAATGATGTTTAAATAAGATTTTTTATGGTGCAGTATACTTAATTGAGTTTTAACTACTTTTAAAATTATGACGATGATTTTTAATAAGTTTATTTTAAATATTCGGTACTGTTGTTTTTGAGAAAACGTCTAAGTTAGATCAAACTTTGGCTCACATACACACACAAGCGATTCAGAATGATTTGAAGAATCGAGAAAACGTAAAATTATTAAATCAGATTTTCTGGCAATAAACTTTTTGTTCTGGAAGTTAATAACTAAAAATATTATGAGAATTTAAAAGACTAATACGAGCAAATTTTTGGTCGTACTTGAAAAATGTCTAAATCGAATGCCAGCCCAGTGATTGGGCGTCCGGGTATAAAGTTAAAATAATTAGATGGAAAATTTTGATTTTGAGGCAGACATCGATTTAGATTATTTCATATTGATGTTACTATATCTTTTAATTATTTTCTCTAAGTATGGAAAATCCTTATTCCATCATATTGGAAAAAAGAAATAAAAAGTATAAATTATAAAGATAAAATTATTGATCATAGAAATTTTTTAACACTTTATTTACTTACTACAATTCATTAATAGATCAGCAGATTGGGAGTATAAACCTTCGCCAAAAATTCTTTCACCGTCTTCAGATAAACAGTAGCATCTGTTGTACAATGTTAGATAATTATTAACTTAATAAAATAAGTCAACAGGAAAGTGTCTTGTTTACTATTTGTATCAATTTCAAATTTGCATGTACTTTACTTACGTAAGATTAGTTATGCATTTAACTGGATAAAACTTTCCGCGTTCATCACATTTTGGACGTTCCATATATTTTCCCAATTGGCCATTAAGTTCCAAATTGTCATAGTCTTTCTGTTTTTTGTAGCATTCTGTAACTTCATCCTCTAAATGATAAACAATAATATTATTCGATGCAATCACAATAAAGATATAATTTTAAATTGATTAGTAGACGCACTCTCACAAATTGGATGTTGTCCAGGCCTATGTGTACAAACTAATCCTGGACCGCAAATACTTTCAGGCATTGGCACTCCAGGATTTCCGAGAGAACACTCTTCTTTTTCTTCTGTAATTGAAAATAGAAATAGATTTATTTAATAACTTTTACAAAATTTCCTTGGGTATGACAAAATGGTATATTTTCTCGTACTTTGTTTATTTTAAGTATGTAATTAACTACTGAAACACGATTTTGGCTAGATTGCTTCAGACTTTTGCTTAACTAAAAATAATGATGAAAATATTTTGTTTTAAAAATGCAATGCTGCCACTTATAGTACAGTCATTTAAGCTTAAGTAAAAAATCTCGGAATTCGAGACTCCCAGTTGTAAGTCTGTAAATACTCTAAAATAGCACCCTAAAAGTTATCTCAAAACCTACATATGGTGCATACACCCTACCATATGTAGGTTTTGAGACAACTTTTAGGATGCTATTTTAGGGTATTTACAGACTTACAGCTGGGTATCTCGAATTCCTAGGTGAATTTACTATAGTGACTGGATTATTAATTTTTTATGTGGTATTACTCAAAATCATTTGGCTACCAGCTCGCACTTTGTGAACGCTGGAACACATTTGAACAAAATCTTGATCAAGGTAACAACGAAAATTTGCAAATTGTATGTGTCTAGGTTTAAATTAAACCAAAATTTTAGTCCAATTTATATATTTAAATTAATATTCATAAAATTCTTACTGAGGTGTTTTAAGCACGTTTGGCAACAACTACAAGGCGTGGGTGATGGAAATAGAGCTCCATTGTGAGTCTGATTTTGTGCTAAACATTCATCTCGTACTGGAAGACATCCTTCATTATCTAAATATTCCTGATGAAAATTAATTTTAAAATTAATATAAATTACGTGAGATTGTTAGAAACGTTCAATTCTGAAATTATAATAATTTAAATAATGATATTAAAATATGAGGTATAGAAGGTCTATATATATTATGGAAAAGGAAAGTTAGGATGATGATTGAGGAAGCGTTATGAAGAGGGTATAATTGTAATAAATAATAGAATTTTGTTTAAAATTCTGTAATAAATATAGATGATCAAAAACTTTTAAGTAGATAGTTCGTGTTGTAATAATAAAATCAATATTGAAGTGTTATTGATCAGAGATGGGAAAGAAAATTAGTTTTATTAATGATTCGAAAAGTGATTCGAAACAAAATACATACATACATCTTCTGAAATAAATGTAGAGAATTAAAAATACCCTAATTAGATAATCATTTATGTTATAAGATGCTTCAAAGTTTAATTGAATGTTATTGATCAAAAATGGGAAAAATACTCTTTTTTTTATTTATTGACTTTGTAAACGAAAAATACTCTTATTACAAATGCTTCAAAGAGTTGTTCGAAATAAAATATAGTTCATACAAGAGAAATGAACACTTCTTAAGTATATAGCCTATGTTGTTAGATTTGTTATTGTTAAATGTTACAAAATTCAATATTAAAGCACTATTGATCAGAAATTCTTTAGAAAAAACCTTTTTCGGGATAGAATAAAATACATACAGAAAGTTGGTAAAACTAACTATGAAACAAATTACGTGAAATCAAAAGGTCAAAAAGTCAAAAAGAACTATATTTGACATGATAAGAATAAACTATCAGAAAATACGATAGAAAAAATAAGTTTATAAATTGGGTGAAATAAAAATGAGGCGTAACATTGTTATACACAGTTTGAATTGAATTGAAAAAATAAACTCAAAGCAATGTATAAAAAATTAATATTAGGTTAGCAACTAAGTAAGTGCGGATTTTTGTTCAAATCTTTCATGAATCTAAATAACTTTAATCTGTAATGTATTGTTCATTTTGATCAATGACTTTTTGTAATTTTTCAAGCAATATCATTAACACAACTTCATAAAACTTCTGGTTTTTCTTAGCAAAAACTGAATTAGATAAAATTTGACGTTATCATAATCATTGAATTGTTTAATTTTCAAGGAGTTTTGTAAAGATCGAAACTAAAAGTAATCACATGGTGCAAGGTCAAAATTATATGGTAGATGTAGTAAAATATTTCAATGAATATCCAATAATTTTTGTTAAATGGCCAAGGATATGTTATGTCAATAATGGAATAAATCGCCGTTACGAATTGTCAATTCATTAATTGTTCAATTGGTCAATTTCATTAGTTCAATGTAGACATCAGTATTGATGGTTTGGGTTGGGTGATAAGAGTAAAAGTAAACAATTCTTTGGCAATCATCTTCAACTGGACGATCAGAGCGTTTTTCACCCTTAAGTGAAAAATCACCAGAACAGACCAGAACCAGAAATTTTGCAAACCAATTTTGACACTGCCGTTTTTTTGAGACTATAAACAGCTCGTAATTTTTTGTAGGCTTAAGACGCCTTCTTCACATTTGCAGAAACAAAAAAGCAAAATATGACAAAAATATTTGATTTGATTTTCCATCTTTGCTAAACGAAAACTACGCAATCGCTCAAAAGTTTCTTTTTTACTGGTGGTCGTCTAAGTTGCCTACTATCTACATTTAGATTACGTCAGAAAACCTAAAAATTCAATTAAAACGAGAAAAATATTTAAAAAAATTATACAAAATTTAGAAGCAAAAATTATTTGCCTGCAATGTTGATCTATAAATCCATATCACTCATTTTTTACAAGTACTTTTGGCAAAAAAAGGATTGGAAATGATGGATACGATCAGATCAATATTTCAGATAAATAATTTTTGCTTCTAATTTTTTATATTTTTCTACATATATTTCTTTTTTAGAAAAGGTACATCACTTATTTTTTTATAAGTGTGTTATATTATTTCATAAAAATTGTTTTTGATACAGAAAAATGATGATGATTCAATTAATACCATCTATTTAGTTGCCAACTTAATATCTACTTTATTAATAAAAATACAGAGCATTGAATTTATATAATCATTACAAAAATACATTTTTGAAAGTTCAACTGAATTCTAAGCAAGACATAAAGTTATATTGTGGTTATAGTGATTCAGGCGAAATTTTATATATATTATTCTCTTGTTGCCTGTTGCACAGGTGTATATTTTTACCTTTCCGAATGAAGTATTTATATTACGCATTAGTCATTTCACAACCGGTAAGAAACGCTAATACACATGTTTACCAAAGATTTGCTGGCACACAAAAAGCCTCTAATTGCCATGGCACGCATTTCACACAAGTTCTATATAAATTTTATAAATATTATAATCAATTTGTAGCCTATTTGACTCAAGGCGAATTCAACTACGTTTTTGATAACAATGTCGATGATCTCACTTGCAAAAAAGAGGATAAATTACAAAATATAACAATGGGCTAGATCTAGATGATCGTTTGTCTTACATGTATTTTGGACAAAAGATATGAAATTTTTACAATTATAAATCCACTTTGCCTATTTACTGAATTTTTGTTTTGTAAAGGCAGATTGTAGTTAAATAAAAGAAAAAAAATCTTAGCCAAAAAATATTCAGTTTAAAACCAGATATTTTTAAATCTTATTGAATTTTAACAATTATCAATCAACTTTTTAACTTTCTGTAGGGTAAGTAATAGTAATCGCAAAAAATCGAAAATGAAAATGTTTATATATCTTTACGTTTAAAACGTTTTTGAACATTTTGCCATACCTTAGAAAAATGGATGTATATGTGTGGATGTGTGTGTGTGTGCGTATACA